GATGCCCCCCCTTTTTTGATTGACCAGGGGGCCCCTATGCCCGGGGGCCCCATGAGTTGTCAGTCCGCCCCTGTGCTGTACTGTTTCCATTGCACACCATTGCAATGGGCCTCATAGGAGATAGGGCTTTATGCCTTGTCTTGTTTTGGGACTATACCAAGCAAGGGTGCCCAGCACAGTCCCAGCACACCTGGTGTGAAGAGACCTTTACAATCAGATGTGAGATGAATTATAAATCTACCAACAACTATGTCGAACAAGGGCCAGCTCGACTGTATACAGATTGATTGGATACATTAAGCTGAGTTCACATATGTGCGGGGCTGGTTTCCAGCGCAATTTGTAAAAGAGTCCGGTGCAGTTTCGTTCAGAGGTTCCGGTGTGATTCCAATGCAGATTATTAAAGTGTATGACACTGGAAATCACGCCTGAACCGGGCTGAAAATTATACCGGATTCTTTTTTAAATTGCACTGTGGCCGGCCCGCACATATGTGAACCGGCTCCATAGGAGAGGACTTTGGTTCACATGTCATGCGAATCAAATGCGGTTCAAAATGCATCCAATTTGCATATATGTGAACTGGGTCTAAAGGGGAAGTATGGCCAAAGGTCTTTTGTACTTCTCCTTTGGATCACAGAAGTGCAGTTCTGGCTATACTCCTGCGACCTGTTTTCAGCCAACAGAGAGCTAAAGCCTGTTGTCAGCTGATATCATTCAGCAGGTTCATACTCCAGAAAGATCCCGACTTTACAGTCAAGATCCACCAAGATGCCTGGACCGGCTACTCCTCAGCCTCTCAGCAGCACCACTAGGAGACTGAGCCAACAACTCCCTCCCCAGCCCACTGCTCAAGTGAGCGCTAGAGGGGCAGAGCAGAGAGCAATGACTGATAGTCACTGCTTTCTGCTCAGAGCAAGGGAGAGAACTGAGCAATCAGTGGTGTATGATCGCTCAGTTCTCAGTGCAGAGAAGGTAGGGGACAGACAAAGCATCGGACTGATGCTGCATCCACCTAAGGTGATTACATTTTTTTTTTGTTTTGTAAACTCCCTTACACTTTTAGTCCTGGTACACACTGATGTATTGCAGTAAACGCAGCATTTCCTGTGTGTTTCCTTCACCACATAGCAATCGCACTGTGTTCATGCGATCTGCTGCGTCTGTCAATTAATAGTTAACAATACCCCAAAAGCATGTCGCAGTGCACAGTGTGTTTGCTTGAACTGTATCACGTGGGTATGAACACTACCGCCTGCACCTTTTTATGCGGATGCAGTGCGATTTGAGGCAATCAAAATGAATTGTTCAAACCGCTCCTCACTGAATCGAGTGTGATTTCCACAGGAATGCAGTGCGATTTCTGTGCAAATCATATGCGGTGTGATAGTGTGAACTGGGGCTTAAAGTAATTCTAAAGCCTGTAGTTTTTTTTAATCCTAATGCATTCTATGCATTAAGGTAAAAAATATTCAGTGTGCAGATTCCCCCCCCCAAATATTTACCTGAGCCCAGCCCCGTTCCAGCGCTCTACATGACAGCACAGGCTCTTTCCCTTGTTGTTGTCTCAGAGACAGCAACGGGAGCCACTGGCTCCTGATGTTGTCAATAACAGCCAGTGAGGAGGGAGTGGGGGCGGAGCCAAGCCGTGCTCTGTGTGTCTTATGGACACAAAAAGCTGGCTTGGGAGCAAGCATGTATGGTCCAGGGGCGGACTGACCATTTGGAAACTCAGGGCCCGAGGGCCCGGGTCAGTAGGGGGCCCCATGAGATGCCCCTGGTACCTTTTTCATAGTCTTTTTTGAGTTTGGGCAAGGACACAGGGCCCCATGATCCCCTATTGCCCGGGGGCCCCATGAGTTGTCAGTCCGCCCCTGGTATGGTCACCCCCCTAACAAGCTATGGAAGCACTCGGTGGGGAGGAGGAGCCAGGAGCACTGGCAGGGGACCCAAAAAGAGGATGATCAGGGCTGCTCTGTGTAAAACCATTGCACAGAGCAGGTAAGTATTACGTTTGTTATTTTAAAACAAACAAAAAACACGATTCTTTACAATCACATAAAACTGACCACAGATGGATCAGTTTTTGTTTGATCAGCCAGATCCCCCCATCCACACATTTGAGGTGGAGGAATCCTCCCCTTTGTGTTGTTGCATCTGACAGCAGTAACTCCTGATTGGCTGCATGCACTGATTGAACACACATTTTCCAACATTCCAGTTCGAGAAGAGTCAATCACTAGGTCAACTCCTCTTGAACGGGAATGACGATGACAATAGATGGATTGAGATTCAGATGCCCGCTGTTGAACCAGACAAATCTCAATCTATCTATGGCCAGCTTTAGGCAGGTCCCTACATTAAAGAGGTTTTAAACCCTTCCATATACCCAGTGAAGGGACTGGTCTCAGGTGATACACAGGGATGAAACAAATCCTCCTACATAAGTGGTACCCGTTTCAGTGCTGTATATTGGTTTTGTACTGCCCTAGGCATGACTGAAATTGGGCGCACCCCCACATCTAAATTTGTTCCACCCCCTTCTTGTTTAAGATCCACCCCTTCATCTGTAAACTCCACCCCTTCCTCTTTAGGCTCCACTTCTTCCTATTAGAGCTCCACCTCACAAGATGGTCAGAGACTGCAGACAAAGTACAGGAGATGGTTGAGACTGCAGACAAAGTACAGGAGATGGTTGAGACAGCAGACAAAGTACAGGAGATGGTCAGAAACTGCAAAGTACAGGAGATTGTCAGAGACTGCAAACATAGTACAGGAGATCGTCAGAGACTGCAGACAAAGTACAGGAGATCGTCAGAGACTGCAGACAAAGTACAGGAGATGGTTGAGACTGCAGACAAAGTACAGGAGATGGTTGAGAGTGCAGACAAAGTTCAGGAGATGGTCAGAGACTGTAGACAAAGTACAGGAGATGGTCAGAAACTGCAGACAAAGTACAGGAGATGGTTGAGAGTGCAGACAAAGTACAGGAGATGGTCAGAGACTGCAGACAAAGTACAGGAGATGGTTGAGAGTGCAGACAAAGTAAGGGAGATGGTCAGACAAAGTACAGGAGATGGTTGAGACTGCAGACCAATTACAGGAGATGGTCAGAGACTGCAAACATACTACAGGAGATGGTCAAAAACTGTAGACAAAGCACAGGAGATGGTCAGAGACTGCAGACAAAGTACAGGAGATGGTTGAGACTGCAGACAAAGTACAGGAGATGGTCAGAGACTGCAGATATACTACAGGAAATGGTCAGACACTGCAGACAAAGTACAGCAGATGGTCAGAGACTGCAGACATACTACAGAAGATGGTCAGAGACTGAGGACAAGATACAAGAGACTATGGACAGTATATCTGCACTCTTCTCTTCAATAATTCAAAGTGCTGAATTTATAAAGCTTATCTGAGAGCTCAGAAAACAGGGACAGAGAGCTGAAGTTACACTTTGTAGAGCTCAGTGAGGAAAACTCTGAGACCTGATTGGAGGGAAGGGACACACCTCCTTTCACACAGGAACAGAGCTGAGGCTGTCAATCACAGGCTGTACCCTCCCGTCACCATTTTTCTCTTAGTGTCAGGAAAACTTGTCAGAAGTGACTCTTGTTTATAGCAGAGATATGAGGCAGCGGACAGACATGGTACTTAGTGCTCTTAATTGAGACAAGTACACACTATAGAGGGACAGGCATTGTTCATATTTCATGTTTGTGGTTTACATCCACTTTAAATCGTTTTGGTGAATCTCAAGCTGCTTGTACACAGATTGTAGCATGTATGGTGAGGATTGTGTGTGGGGTGACCTGTACCATCTATGGATTGGATCTGGTAGTAAAGTGTTGTTTTCTCTCTGTGTTCCAGGCTGACCACCTGTGTGATGTGACCCGGGAGGGCCATGCTTCATTCTGCTGCCTTCCCCATGGAGACCCATGATGGCGCCCGGCTCTCCTCAGTGACGCCGCTCAGGGCGGCCGGATCGGAGTCACCATGAGGCGATCTCCTCCGTCTACACAGTGATGGCTTCCACCTACCCGCCTCCTCCGACTCACCGCACCCCTCCAGCCTCCGGCACCATGATCCGATTGACTGTCGTTAAATGAATCGGTGGACGGCGGCGAGGAAACAGGAGATAAAACACACTATTATTATTGTTACTTTGGCAATCGTTCACCTGTTGATATCGGACCCGTGGATTGCTCGCAGTTTGGCGGAGGCTCCCGCCTTCTAGGACACACAATACCTCCAGGGATTGGACGGCAGCCACCGTCGCGATTTTTTTTCTGTGGTTAACCCCTTGCCACCCAGGATGGTTACTACAATGAGAGAGAAAAAGTCCACCATTGTCTACCTGAACTCTGTATACGGATTTATTTGCAGCCCCCTCCTCCACTTTGCCCTATGTAAAAACTTTGGATGAATGGCATGGCTGGGGCTCCTGTGAAGCAGCCAGGGCCCATAAGTTGTCACCTCAGCTACTAGCAAAAGCAGCGGCAGCAGCTTCAGCCTCACCCGGAGCGCGCTCAAGCACGCACACACACTGAGGAGAGATGGAGGTTGCCATGGTGAGCGCGGAAAGCTCCGGCTGCAGCAGCCACCTGCCGTACGGCTACGCGCAGGCGCGCGCCCGCGAGCGGGAGCGACTGGCCCACTCGCGTGCGGTAGCCGCTCAGCAGCAGCAGCAGCAGCAGCAGCAACAGGAGGGCGGAACTTCGGGGGGCGTGTCGTCCTCCTCGGGCCAAGGAAACGGGGGCGCGGGCAGCTCGCGGCGCGCGCCTCTGTCTCCTCAGTCGGAGCAGCCGCCTCAGAGGAAGAAAGTCGGAGGAGCCGGGCAGCAGCAGCACCGGCGCTCCAAGTCTTACTGGCCCCTGAGCGGCTGCAACAGGTGGAGGAGCCGGCACCAGACAGCGGGCAACGAATGCGGCGAAGGCGCAGAAGGAGACGGAGGCACGTTCCCCTCGGAGCTGGCTCCGTGCGGCTCTGAGGAGATGATGCTGAGGGAAGAAGAGGAGGAAGAAGAAGAAGAGGAGGAAGGTGGGAAGAAGTTCTACCTGTGTGAGGAAGAGCGGAGCGGCAGGAGGAGCCCGGCAGGCGGTGGCTATCACCCTGTGTACAGTGAATTTGAGTGCTGCGAGCGGGTGGTCATCAACGTGTCCGGGCTGCGCTTCGAGACCCAGCTGAAGACCCTCTCCCAGTTCCCCGAGACCCTACTGGGCGACGCCGAGAAACGCATGAGGTACTTCGACCCCCTCCGCAACGAGTACTTCTTCGACCGCAACCGGCCCAGCTTCGACGCCATCCTCTACTACTACCAGTCCGGCGGGAGGCTGAAGCGGCCGGTCAACGTGCCCTTTGACATCTTCTCAGAAGAGGTGAAGTTCTACGAGCTGGGCGAGGAGGCTCTACTCAAGTACCGGGAGGATGAGGGCTTCGTCAAGGAAGAAGAAAAGAGGCTGCCGGACAACGAGTTCAAACGTCAGGTGTGGCTACTCTTCGAGTACCCGGAGAGCTCCGGGCCGGCCCGGGGCATCGCCATTGTCTCCGTACTCGTCATCCTCATCTCCATTGTCATCTTCTGCCTGGAGACCCTGCCCGAGTTCAGGGACGACAAAGACAGCCTGCTGCCCCTGGAGGAGGATATGGGGGACTTTGATGGGGGGGACAGTCATCACCACCACAACAGGAGCCTAGGAGGCGCCGAGAACAGCCACACCGCCTTCAATGACCCCTTCTTCATTGTGGAGACAGTGTGCATCGTCTGGTTCTCCTTTGAGTTTGCCGTCCGGCTCTTTGCCTGTCCCAGCAAGCCGGGCTTCTTCAGGAACATCATGAATATCATCGACATTGTGTCCATCCTGCCTTACTTCATCACCCTGGGCACTGAGCTGGGCAACCAGCAGCCGCCCGCCCAGAACTATCCACAGCCGCAGCCAGGGCAGCAGCAGCAGGCCATGTCCTTTGCCATCCTGAGGATCATCCGCCTGGTCAGGGTCTTCCGCATCTTCAAGCTTTCCAGGCACTCCAAGGGCTTGCAGATTTTGGGGCACACCCTGCGGGCCAGTATGAGGGAACTGGGGCTCCTGATCTTCTTCCTTTTCATTGGGGTCATCCTGTTCTCCAGCGCTGTGTACTTTGCCGAGGCGGATGAGCCCACCACGCACTTCCACAGCATCCCCGATGCCTTCTGGTGGGCCGTGGTGACCATGACCACGGTGGGCTACGGGGACATGAAGCCCATCACCGTGGGGGGAAAGATCGTGGGGTCGCTGTGTGCCATAGCTGGGGTTTTGACGATTGCGCTCCCCGTGCCCGTGATAGTCTCCAACTTCAACTATTTCTACCACAGGGAAACACAGAGAATGAGGAGCAGACTCAGCTGACCTCCAGCGGCTCCAGCTGCCCCTACTTGCCCACCAATCTCCTCAAAAAGTTAAAGAGTTCCACCTCTTCCTCTCTTCAGGACAAGTCGGAGTATCTAGAGATGGAGGAAGGGCTCAAAGAGTCTTTATGTGTCAGAGACAAATCTAGCCAGAGCACGGGGAATGGCAACGAGACCATTAAGTATAACTGTGTTAATTTAAAAACTCTGGAAACTGATGTGTGAGACGTGGTTTTTTTTTTTTTTCGTTTTTTTTTTTTTTTTTTTTTGGAACTTTTAAAAAGTTTATGCATTGATGAGTGCAGTGATCTAAAACCGAAATATGCAAATCTAATCAGAAAAAAAAAAAAACAAAGGATTATAAATTTCTGATTAGATATGAAATATAGTGGCTTCCTCTTGTAAGAACATCCAACCTTGGGACCAGACGCAAACAGAATGATTATTCTCATACAGGAATCCTAGTGCCTGTTCTTTGGCTTTGTTTTTTAAAGCAACCCACATAAACGCGTGTGTTAGGTGTACACGCAGTGTTGTAAAGCCTTTATGATTAAAAAAAAATATATATATTCATCATTTCATACAATACAGAGCAGATCTTTATGCCTTGTAGCGGTGGGGCATTTTTATTCTTTTAAGAGAAAGAGAGAAAACTATGTTTAATATGTTTATTTTTGTGTGTGACTGCAGTGGATTACAGGTGCCCAGTCAACTTTAAGGTTTACTTTTTTTGTCTGTCCAGATATTGTGTATTTTTTTTTTTTAAATTCCACATGACGGGGATTTTAGTCTATGGTGTATTTCATGGTGGATCACGGTAACTTCAGTTGTGGTATAAACACTATCTCCGGTGGTGGTCATACCATAACTTGACTGAATGTTCTTAGAAGAGGAATTTACCAACTGTGTAAACTAAATTCTTATATGTGGAGTCCACTGTAACTGTTCTTTTTTTCATCATGCTTAACATATCAAAGGAAAACGGTAGACTAAAAAAAATGGGTATTAAAGTATAAATATATATATATTTTTAATAGAATGCAATTGTTTTGCACAGATAAGAACTAAGGGGCTGTTTTTAACTTGATGTGATATTCGCGCTCAAAGGTGACACAAAGGAGTTTATTTAAGGCAGATAGGCTGTTCACTTTGCATGGGATGTTACTTTTTTTCAATGGGAATTTGCCCGAGAGTGTAGTGAATAAGGTGACACTGTGTTAACTTTCATCGTCCAATCATGTGCAAGCAAAAATGCTGTCTTTTTTTTTTTTTTTCTTGTGTTTGGGTATGCTTTGCATAGCGATACTTCACCACATTCATTAGAGCTGGCCATACATTATACAATTTTCTGGTATAATTTTTGTACAATCTCCTTAAGGGCTAGTTTACACCATAGAAATGCAGTCCGGGTGTGTTTTTGAATGCATGTGTTTGATGCGTTCTGGTGTATTTTCCCCACTTTTTCTCTTCACCGTAAATAAAGACGTGTGTTCTGGTGCATTTTTGATGCATTTCAGTGCATTTTCCCATCTTTTTTCTTCACCTTTAATAAGGACGTGCATTTTTGGTGCATTCTGCTGCATTGTTTTATGCTTTTTACTGTGTTCCAGTATAGCTCAGTGCAGAAAAAATGCAGCGTGTTCTAGTTTTTTTTTCTGGAACTGACTGCATTGGTGTAAACTACGCTATTCGAAACCATGTTAAGTACTATCCATGGTTGAGAAAAAAAAAAAACGCACTGGACTGCAGGTGGTGTGAACCAGCCCTAAAGCTGTAAGAAAATCAGAAGAAACGAGGAACGATTGGTTGATCATCTGATTGTTAGTTTAGTGCTTTCAACAGCCAATTCCGGCTGTTCGGACAAAAAAATAAAATGAAGGTGCAAGCTAGACATTTTTTATTATATGTAAACACAACATCTGATTTTCACTCAATGTGTACAGTAATTGTATGGAAATAATTGAACTGAAAAAAATGTGCATGATCAGAAGCAAAGAACAACACTGAAGAAGGTGGCAATGAACATAGAAATTGTACATAAGAAAGAACATTTGCCTTTGTCGTTCGAGAATTTTCACACAAGTTAATACCATGGTCAGCTACATCATGATATGCGCCTTTGTGGAAAATCAGGCGATCGACTGATTTTCTCATAGTTGGGGTTATTTACTAAAACTGGAGAGTGCAAAATTTGGTGCAGCTCTGAAACCAATCAACTTCCAGGATTTTTTTTCTTATGAAAGCTTAATTGAACAAGCTGAAGTTAGAAGCTGATTGGCTATCATGTAGAGCTGCACTAGATTCTGAGTGTGTCCCCCACTTTAGATTTACCTACTACACCAACTATGTAGTGGAAGGGCCTGCCTGATTGGATACAAATTGATAATGTGGTTTAGGTTTGACCTAATATTATATGGTTTTTGGTAAATCTAAAGGAAAAGTACAATAGAATTGTATAATGTGCGGCCAGCCTAAACTCTCGGGAAAATTTCCTTCCAAAGCGTAACTCCCCTTGTTAAGTGAACAGCCTATTTGCCTTAGTAAATCAACTCCAAAGGCTTTAAAATAAATAAAAATAAGGTACTCTATATTTTTAGTAGCCATTACTGCATTTCCAGTTAATATCGTGTTTTAACTGAGCCAGCGAAAATACAACATTGGCGCGCTTGTTGACAGCTGGGTATTTTTTTCTCTGGTTCAGTAAAACTAGTCTTAACAAAGTCGAATTCAGTACGTGACGTAAGAAATTCCTACCTATTCATCCACTTGATGGTGGCTTCTACAAATAATTCATTACAAACTGCAATCTGTAAGGGCTGCCGACCCACATTAACCGCTGCTAGCAGAGCATTTACTGGGTGAGACAAAGAAGTTACTTCTACATCTGCATGTTGACCGGTGATAGGGAATGCTTTTTTTGCACTACAGTCTAATCTGGATACATAATATCTAAAGAGACTTCGTACTGTGAACCATTTGTGTAACTTTAAAATTTCAGGACAATCATTACGATATGATCTCTGTAGCTCCCTTTTAATTCCTTTGTGTTGTAAAGTATTGATGCTGCTTCAAAGGAGCGCGTTTAACACATCATAAAAGAAAACGTACAATTCTTAAAGACAGCTTTATGCAGCAACATGTGGTATGCTATATATTTATTGCAGAAGATTGCTTCATGTATGGGTTACTTATACGAAGTGAAGTTAATCCTATTATCCTAATAATTGATTATTTATATTACATATATATTTATTTTGTCTGCCATATTATTGCTGCATTGTGAATGGTGGGCCTTAATATTTCAAATAGATAACATACCAAAGCCCAAACAAGTTTTACTGCAGTTTGTTAGTAAACAAAGAAAACAAATTTGCTGGAAAGCTGCTACCTCCAACTAAACAGTTGGTTTTATTTTTAGTTTGATGTTATGTAGTCAGTTTAAATAGAACACAGAGATTCTGCTGTCAGGAACAAACTGTATCTGCCCTTCCAGGTATATCTTATATTGTTTTTGGAAAAGGATAAATGTGAGCATGTGCCTAACATTCTGCCTAGTTCTGGTTTACAGTTGGCGGAGTTTTATACATAAATAGGTGGTTTTATACGGAAGCCACCACATTATTTAAACAAAGATCTATATCCAGTTTCATTGTTTAGAGTAAACGAAGCATTCCAATATATGCAAAGTGCAATTTGGGAATATTTTCAGAAATATCAGTCCTTTAGAGCCACTTTATCCTGGAGCCATTTTGCTACTAGGTGGGGCTGTTGCAACTTGCAGATGTGTTGCACCGCTATCCTCCTTGGCAGTTAAAGGGTAAAATAAAATGAGGTATTTGAATCCAGAGAAATATTGTGGAAATTTTTAAGAGAAGCTCATGCTGCCGTGTCTGCAATATGGGTTTTTACAAGAAAAATACATATCTGCATGTAATGAAAATGGTACTCAGTGTTCATCTCAATCCAACAAGCTCCTATTTTAACAACTGTGTGGAAACCTTTCATATTTGTGAATGCTAGTTTCTGCAAACATGCTTTTTTTTTGTGAAATTATTCTTAATAAATTTCCATTGATGACTAAAATTGGTGGATATTGGGTAAGTACAGCTTTTATTGTTAATTTAACAGCAGATTTCCACCTTGTTATGTATAATTTTAATTTCAGCCTCATCTCGAAATTCATGTGTATGTGAAACAGACCTGGAGATTAATCATGAATGAGATTGTTCTCTTTTTATTTTTTATTTTTTTTTAAGTGTACACTGTCATGTTGCAATCATGCATTGCAGACAAACTAGATTACAATGGAATTAAAGCAATGTCTCCAATGAAATATATTTATTGTAGTTTTATTAATCTTCACAGTAGAGATATCACTTAAAAAACATGACTCAATGGGGCTGATTTACTAAAGGCATAGAACATGTTTACTTTTAAAATAAAATGTTCCCTTTGAAAGGGGATTTTCACTTTAGCTATCTATACACATAGGGGTTGATTTTCAAAAGGTAAATAGATTGTGCACTTGCTCCAGAGCTTAGTAAATGAGACGAAGCTTCACTTTGCAAAGAATACCCAATTACATGCAAGGAAAATAAAAAAAGCTGCATTTTTGCTTGCACATGATTGGATGATGGAAATCATCAAAGCTTCCCTTCATTTACTAAGCTCTGGAGCAACTGCACTTTAAAAAGTGCACAGCCTATATGCCTTTAGTTAATCCACCCCACACAGATTTCCCCCATTCAGCCCACTGACTGATCAAGTGAAATCTAAGAGATTCCTCAATCCATGCTTAACAGAATATGTGGAGGAATCTCCTCTCCTGGCTATAGTATTATGATAGCCAGAACCCACAGCTGTCAGAGTACCTGAACAGTGCCTGAATCTGATAAGATGTGGTCACTATTCAGATGATAATTTTCTCCCTGTTCCCTTGACAAAAGTTGATTGGAGGGTGCCAACAGGGCTACCCATGGCTCAAATTTTGGCCAACTCTGC